CCAGTTCCCACTTCGAAAGACGAAGGCGTTCTGCTATGAGCGTGAGTATCTGATCCGCGTGGTTGCTCGTCGTGGAGCTGCGTGTGAGATGCGTGCGTTGTGGCGATGAAATCGCAATAAGGCAAGGTGCTCCGCATGAATGAATGTAAGATATCTCTTCACGCATGTCTTCAGTGGTAAATACTTCACTACTTAATTTGTCAACTCAGTATGCACCGATCATCTCCCTAGCGTTGAAAGTTGTGTACGTATCCTTCTCTTCTTTTTAACTGAAGTTTCATACGTTTCATCTTTTTCTTCAAACGTTCTCATCGTACCAAAATTGTGGTACAAACCAGGAACACACAACATCTGCCACTTCGCGCGACCGGGTTGAAAAACAAAGAAGAGAGTGCCACGTAAAATGGTGAGAGCTCCGCTGAGCAGGGCGCCTTTAATTCCTCTTTATCAGCAGACCAAATAGCTAACATTGCCGTCGTCTCTCCTTCTTTTCTTTCGCGTGTTTATAACGCAGTCTAGCAAGTTCCTGAACGACAAGAAGAAAAAGCTACAGGCGTTTAAGAACACGACCAATGCCAAGTACGTATCTGTACCTGCATGCGCTCACAACTTGGCTGTCATGCATAGTTTGCTGAGGGGTAATTGAGGTGCTGACGGTGTCTTACACAGTGACTCGATGGCAAAGTCGTACTTGGAGAAATTCAGCTGGGACCTCATGCGCGCTGTTGACGAATTCTACGCGAACGGCGGGGAAAGTCTAACGCCAGTGTGAGTAAATACCACAATGCAGTGTCAACGCGCTATCATTAACGCGAACTGCGTCTGGTTAAATTCAGCTGCAGTTTATGCCGACTCGATCGGATGTGTACCATCCCTAAGTGAGCTGGCTGGACATAGTCATCTGCACGACTGGCAGCACGATATCAACGAAATCTTCAGTAACAGCTCCGAGGCTTCTGAGGTTCAAGTTCGCGACGCAATGCTCAATCACCTCACCGACATCGAACGCTTCACAGAAAGCGGTGGTACGTTCGATATCCCAAACTAGAATCCTCAACACTAACAACGTGGTTTGCTCCAGATACTTCAAGTCTGGTTGCTATCACGGGCATGACGGGGCTCCCATTTACTCCAGATCCAGCAGCACAGGTCCTTCTAATTTCTCCATCGCATTTTTCATACATGCTCTAATTTCTTATGTCTTACAGAATCTATCTGACTTGACGGCTGGGGCGTCGCAAGAAATTCGACCAGCTGAAGAAATCGCCACCTCATCACAAACATCAACTCATGAAAATGTACACGAAAATACGATAAAGTAAGTGAACTTATTCAGGCGAAATTAGAGAGTCGATGCCAGTTCTGCTTTGGCTGCATGAATGTCGACCACGATGAGCCACGACCTACAAAAACTCAGAATCCACATCATCGAAGTACGGGTGGCGTAGGGCTTCTTTCGCACTGATTCTTGTAGCGGGGTCGTATTGCAGCATGGACTAAAGACGACCACAGATAACAACGCAGATTAGTCTTTGGAAATAGGCATTCAAGAGCGTAGAAAGCGTCAAGTACTGCTTGAGT